CTTAAGCCCGAAACCCTAAACCCCAACACCTCTAAGCCCCAAACAGTCAGACCAGCACCCTTGTAGCCCTGTCTCTGACGAGGCGCTTCTTAGAGCCTACAACACGCGTCTCGGAAGGGTTGGTGGTTGGAGGGCTTGGGGGTTTTGGGGTTTGGGGCAAAGAAGGGCAAAAGAGGGTTCAGAAAGGGAGTTGGTATTCTTTTCGGGTTTGGGGTTTAGGGCATTGGGGGTTGGGGAGTTTGGGGGTTTCCAGGATCTAGAACTTCAGAGAGGCCTGCTTCAAAAAAGGGTTTTAGAGCGGTTTAGAGCTACCTTTTGGCTCTAACAGTATCCACTATGGTCTCAGATTCCCTTCAGCACGCACCTCCCTGTAAGAAATAGGATTGCAAAAGGGACTCTAACAGTACGTTTTCACCTGATGGCCTCCGGTCGGCTCCAAACCGTTAAGCCCCGCAGCCCCTGTCATGCCTTCAGCCAAAAACCCAACATGCCAAATTCACAACCCTAAACCCACAACCCAAAACCCAAAATTCCAAACCCTAAACCTTAAACCCTTAAGCCGATAGGTGTGCTAACCCCAATCTCTAAACGTCGTTCGGCAGAGCCCGAGTTCTGCAGGCATGAACTCAAAACGTAGAGCTGCACCTTTTCAGCGACCTAATATGCAGGCTTGAATAATTATTCAACCCTAAACCCTAAACCCTAAACCCCAAACCCTAAACCCTAAACCCTAACATCCCCTCGGGTTCCTGTTTATAGTTATACTGTTATATACTCACCCAACACCCTATCGTAACTAATAAGGCCCCTACATTAAGGTCTCAGGGCTGCCCCAAACCCTACGTAGGCCCCAAAACCTGATCTGGGTCCTTGTTGGATACAATTTTACAATCTCTGTTGTAACAAAACTAAATAAGGATTACAAATGGTCATTTTGAATATTACCCCAACAGGGAACCAGTGATGTCCTGCGGTTTTGAAGGTGATTAAGGGAAAGATAAAGCCCGACACAAGACCTGCAAGATCCCAAAGCCCTAACATCCTACCTACAGCCCCCAAATCCTATTGAAACCCAACCGGGTTAAGGGTTTAGGGTTTAGCAAAAGAGGTGAAAGTGCTGCTTCCCAGCTGATTGGCAGAGTCTGGGTTCAAAAAAAAGGGTTTGAGGTGATAGGACTTTAAACTCCAAACCCTCCCTAGCCACACCCCTAAACCCTAAACCCTAAACCCCAAACCCACGCACCCTCTTTCAGGAAGAGCGCCAGTGCCCTTCGCATTGCCCTGGGCGCGGCCTATGGGGCGGGGGTCGAACCACTGAGGCCCCCAGCGCGTCCGGGGGTTCCTGGTTCAGGGTTTAGGGTTTAGGGTTCCGTAAAAAGGGTTTGGAGTTTAGGGTTTAGGGTTTCGCACAATCCAAGCGCATGCTGAAAAAGGGTTTCAAAAAGGGTTTAGGGCCTTCAGGGTTCCTTCAAGTTTTGGATCCTCGGGTTCCTTTTGAGGGTTCCGGTTCCTCCAACGGTTCCCTTCAGTGTTTCGGGGTTCTTCCGGGGCTCCTGTTTCAAGGCTTTATAAGGATTGCTTCAGGCCCTTCAAACCTAAAGGTTCCTATGAACTTAAAAGCTTCCCTTAAGGGTTTTTTTGGGGTTCAACGTAGGGTTTCAGAGCTTGGCATTTTAGGGTGAGGGGGGTGATAAGTTATAGCTAGAAAGTTTGGCTGCCATGCCACAACAACAGCTGGCAACGGTGCGCAAAATGAGGGTACCCTAAACCCTAAACCCGAAACCCTAAACGGCTAAACTTCCAGATGACAAATGTCATGAGGTTGTTTTGGATGGTTCCGTTTTATGACCAGGGTGAGCGGTTGCGAGCAGCCCAGGGAGCAAACGTAGAGGCGACGGAATTTGTCGCGAAATCGGTTGGGTACTAGAGTCTTTAAGAGTGCTTCGACCAAGGGCCTATGTAAGTAACGTATAAGTATTCGTCAGCTGTTACTGAGTGGGGGGAAGCATCCAAGAAATCGGCATCTGCACAGCGGCGACGAAGACGAATCTGATACTCCTGCAAGGATGGCGACGAAGAAGACGTGCCCGTGTCACCTCTTGTTCTTTTTGTAGGTGTTTTGTGCCTATGCCTGCATAGAGGTGGGAGGTCACAGAATACGACCATGTCTTGAAGTTCAGGGTTTTTAGAGTTTCTACGTTTAGGGGTTTAGGGGAAGTTTCATACCAACGGTTTCCAACATTCCGAACATGCCCCTAAACCCTAAACCGACAGAATCGAGCCGCCCTGACAGGTTGGAAGAGGCCGAAGGCTGGCTGAAGGAGAGCCGGGAGTTTCTTCGACTGTTTGGCCAGGCTCTGCACAGCGGTGTTTTGCAGTCTGCGGAAAGGGTTTAGGGTTTAAGGCAAGAGCCCCACACCGTGGGTTGCGGCTCAAGCATCAAGAGACGAGTGGCCCTGTAGACCGCTTCATCCCCGACAAGATGGCATTTTCTACGAAGCTTCGTGGGAGGGACCTTTTGGTGAAGGCTCAGGAGCAGGAACCCACGCGAGCTCCTGGCCGTGGCAGATTCTCAGAGTGGGCATCGCAGAAGTCGGAGGTCGCTGTGGTTGAGGAGGCTTCCACTGGCAGCGAAGTTGAGATGGCAGCTGCAGGCCCAAGTGATTCCGGAGAGAGCACCCCTGTTGTGGCTGGGGCAGACAAAGAGCCAACGGAGGATGAGCGCGAGGCTTTCCGCCAGTACACAGAGAAGTTTGGGGAATGCCGGGATGGCTCCAACCCAGGCTACAGCCGGAAGTCGTTCCCATGGTTCACCGGGAAGCCACCTCAGGGTGAGAAGCTTTCCACAGAGTCGCTTCAGGCTGCGCTGAGCTACCGGCCGATCAAGAAACGGCTGGCGAAGGCCAACCTCACTGAGGTGGATTCCGATCGAGAAGAAATTCCACTCTGCACCCGTTGCTCTATGCCTGTGGGTGAGTTTGCCTACCAGGGTCGCGAGGGCAAGGACACTTGCGTCCACACCGAGTGCATGGCGCAGGTGCTCATGACCTAAACCCCAAACCCTAAACCCTAAACCCTAAACCCTGACGCAGGTGCTCATGAAGGAGGCCCAGCGCGAGGATGAGCATCGCACGACGCGCGAGAACAACAAGAAGCTCAAGAACCGCAGGGACACTGGGTTCTTATTTCAGCAGCTTTTGGCTTAAGTTACCATGATAAGGAAACCCGGCTATTTGACGATCCTTGACATAGTAACTGCTGAAACTGTATAAGTTCCTCAACAAGAACCCAGGAATACAACATCGGCTGGCGCATGGACAGTGTTCCCTCCAATGCCAGCCTGGCTGAGCGAATGGGCTGCCGTCCAGCTCCTCAGGGGCTGTGCTGCCTGGTTCTGGATGAGGCTTCGAAGACCGTCCGGGTGGCCGCGACGCTCGAGCCGTCAGCCTCGGTGAACCTGGAGTACCTGCTGCTGGCTCTCAAGGTCTGAGGGTTTATTCACCAAAAAAAGTTCTTAAATCCCTAACAAACCGCTACAGCTGTAATGTTTGCTAGGGGACCCAAGTTCCATACAGAGGTGAGGAAGTCCGCCTCGCGCGAGCCCCTCTTCTCTCTGGATCCTGGGACGTCGTTAAGGGTTTGGGGTTTAGCGAACGTAACTTGCAATCATCAAGTGGCGCTGCAAAAAGCAAAGGAAACAGCGTGGTTTGCCATGTTATGGTTACATAAGCCAAGTTTTAGGAGGCCTTGGATGACCCATGGAAAGTTAAGCTGGGCGGCGAGTCAAGAGCGCCCTGAACCCTAAGACCCTTTACCCAAAACCCTAAAACCCTAAACCCTAAGCCCTAAGACCCTTTGGCCAAAACCCTAAAACCCTAAACAGAGCCTCAGCCCAGGATCCCATTGACCCGAAAAACCTCGAGAACTCGCCCCAGAAGAAAGTCTTCGAGCCTTCCTGGTTGGCTGGACCAATCTTCGGGATTTCGTTTCTTTTTTTTCTTTTTAAGAGTTTGGGTTTCCCAACAGATTAAGTGGGAGCCCATACCCTAAACCCCTAAGCCCTGTTTCCTTTCCTGCCTGAAAAGGGACCAAGGTTGGCTGGCACCAGCGCCGGCGATGTCATGTTCCAGGCCGGCTACTTCTAGTGGTGCTCACCCCGTAAGCACTAAACCCAGAACCCCAAACCCAAAACCCGAAGCCCTTACCCGAAGCCCCCATTAAACTAAGGATCTTCCTATGCAGGGCTTATAACAACGATCCGACTGTGCAGAATATGCAGGATCTTCTGCAGGGCCCAAAGTCAAGCAAGGATCTTTTCATCGGGGGCAGAATCCCTAAACCCTAAACCCTAAACCCCTAAACCGTAGTTGACGCCCGATTTTTGGAGGGGGGCGCCTGTGCCAGGCCGACTACTTTTTGAAGGAGCTAGCCCTCGGAGAGTACAACATGCCCGTGCTCGGAATGCTCCTGGGCCTCCAGTAGTTTAGGGTTTAGGGTTTAGGGCTTTAGGGTTTAGGGTTTAGGGTTTAGGGTTTAGGGTTTAGGGCTCCTTTACCTTTTCTTGTTCTGGGGGCGCTTTTTGTTGAAACTGAATGATCTACAAACCCAAACCCGAAATCCCAAACCCTAAAAGCACTCTGCCAGGCTTGTCCGAGTGTGAGCGTCAAAAAATGCACTCTCGTAGTGTAAAGGGGGTGCCTGGGAACCCAGGATGAGCGTCTTCGACTGGTCCGAGATGGGCGACAAGGACAAGACATCTAAGCCGAAATCCTAAACCTTAAACCCCAAACCTGCGGAGACAAAATTCCCGAAATCCTAAATATAGAAATCCTACACCCCCGACATCCGAAACCTTCAGCCCGATAAACCCTACACCCTAAACCTTAAACCCTAAACCCTAAACCCCAAGGACAAGACGTGGTCTGGCCGCGAGTGGTTCGTGGTGAAGAAGGCCGAAGTCCGCATGGCCGAGGACCCTTAAAGGGTACTTTAGGGGCTACTATAAGGGTTTAGGGTTTAGGGTCTAGGCTAAGGGCTCCTTTAAGGGCTCCTATAGGGGCTTTTCGGGTTTAGGGTTTAGGGTGTAGATTTTTAGGGGGTTTCGGGTTTGAGGGTTTAGGGTTACGGGTTTAGGGAAAGGGTACTATAGGGTTTTTTTCGGGCTTAGGGTTTAGGGTGTAGATCTTTAGGGTTTTTTTCGGGTTTTAAGGTTCAGGGTGTAGATCTTTAGGGGGTTTCGGGTTTTAGGGTTTAGTGTTTAGGATGTAGGGTTTAGGGAAAAGGTACTATAGAGCCAGGCGCGACATGCAAGCCTGATGTAAAAAGGGTGTAGGGCGTGGGGTTTAGGGAAAGGGTACTGTTGGGTACTAGCATTGGGTCCCGTGTAAAGGGTACTATAGGGGTTCTACAATAGGGTCCCCTTTAGGGGCCGTGTAGGGTGTAGGGTTTATGGTTTGGGGTTTAGGGTTTGGGGTCAGGTAAGCTTTAACCTTTTGAAGCAGTACACTGTATACAATCAATTAGTAGGAAGGTTATAATTTAACTTCTGTGGGTGTACATATTCAATCGGTAGGAAGGTTAGCCTTTTTGGGTGTATGCAACCCAAAGATCATGAACCAGGTTACCCTTTTTTTTTGGGGCGGGGGGGCGCTCACCGAAGGATCGGACTCTGATCCCGCACGTCCGCATGGGCGTGGAGGCCCGCGAGCAGATTCTGACCGCCAAAGGACTGGAGGATGCTCCCGTGACGGTGCCCACACATCCCTTGAAGAAGTTTGCGGAGGCCTTCACCTTAAAGCCTAAAGCCCAACACGCCGAACCCTAAACCCTAAACTCTAAACCCTAAACTCTACACCCCAAACAAACACCCCCGAAACCCCAAACCCTAAATTCTAACTCAACAAGTTTGCCGGAGGCCTTCACCCGTCACTTCGATCTGATTGCAGAGCGCAAGAGCGTCATCTTCCACCTCCGTGAGTTGGCGAAGGCTAGTAAGTAGAATAGGCAGCCTTTCACCTTTTTGGGGTTTCGGGTTTAGGAGTTTTCTTCAAGGGTACCCGGCAGTTGCAATAGGCCTGGATGCAACAGGGTTTATCTAAAAACTCTGCGAGTAGTTTGAATAAGTACATGTACCCTGGCTGTTCACGGTGTGTTTGTTGTGGCATGAGGAAGCTTGGTGCCTGGTGTGGATCGATACGATCGAAGGTGTCTGCCAGCTATCCCTGGACGACTTGTCGCAGTCTTGCTTCCTGCATTTCATCAGTCATGTACGGATGCTATACAA